AACAACAACAACGATCGCAAACTGAGCAACAAACAGAGAAAACCACCGAAGATGAAGATTTGTTGCCAAAAAGAAAAGGAAAGTCAGTTATCTGGAATTATTTCGGTTAAAAGAAGGATGATGTCGACCAAAACACGTGTTTTGTGTTCATCTGTCGCCACAATAACGTCCCAGCACAATAAAAGCTAAAAATATCTCTGAGACAGACAGAAGCCATTCTAACATTCACAAAAAGAGGTAAGATCAGAGCAGGTGAACTGTCCTCAAGATTTCAGCAGTGCAGTATAACATTAAATGCTATTCAGGTCATCTGGTGAAAATTCCTGTGTTTTTAATATCGCAATATATATCGCAGGGTTGAAAAAAATCGCAATGTTAGTTTTTTCCAATATCGTGCAGCCTTAAACCAAGATGGACGCCTACTGTTACCCGTTGTTAGCTGTTATTTATATTGTTAGCTGTCGTTACCCGTTGTCAGCAGTTGTTCGTTGTTGTTAGCTTTACCAACACAGTATTTTACTCTTACAAACACCACAGCAGCGTGTTCACAGTTAGACGTTGGGCAGTTCGACATAAACCACTAATTTAATTTCACAAAAACAAAAACAGAAGTGCGAATAAATAAAACATGACGAGAGCTTTTACTGTTGATGAACTGGGCTGCCATCTTGGATTATGACGTTGTCGTAAAGTCGGAGTTGGCGAGGATTGTCCCACTTTTCGACTCGGAAATCTGAGAATCAGGAATCCAGACCAGACAGGATATAGTACAACTGGAACGCAGCATTAAACTAAAAAAAGAAAAATAAATCTCAACCTCTAAAATCAGACCCTGTTGGCGTTTGTTCGGCTCAGTGTAAATTAGTAAAGCTAGTGTCATGGCGCTCTGTGGCGGGATATCTCTGTGATATTTTGGGTAAAATTAGGGAAACAAACACGGTCAGATTTAGGATGTAAACACGTTCAGTTCTGCTACAACGATGGACTTTGGTGAATGAGTCTCTGTGTTGTTCCCTGTGTTTCTGGAGTGAGCCTCTAGTGGACACTTGGGGAACTGCACTCTCATGATTTACCATATAAGGAAATCCACTCTTAGACCAAAACTGCTTTCAGAACCAGGCTGTTTATTTTGCTTTAGAGACGGACGTTTTTGTGGTTTCAGGACTCAAGGAGGCGCTGCGGGAGCTGCAGTGTTTAACGCTTTTTTTTTCCCCGTCCCTTTTTTGTTGTAGCACCGCCCGCAGGCCTGGAGTATGAACTGCAATGATGACTTCACTTTTGTGCACTTTTCTATTGTTTGTGTTTTTAGACTGAAGTTCAGCAAAGAGCCGAGAAGAAAGACGAACCATTCTGTGTTTATATGTTTAAATGATTCACACAGACTAAGTGTATTATCTCAACCCTCAATCTGCCGCTCCCTCCCACAGACGTCGTCCACATCCAGGAGCTGTCGTCCATGTTCCTGCAGGTCAAAACGGCGTTCGGTCTGCGTCTGCAGTACAGCTGGAAGGAGTTTCGTCTCTACCTGCAGGCCGAGGAGATGTGGAAGGACGACACGGTGGGGCTGTGCGGCACCTTCAACGGCAACATCCAAGATGACTTCCTGTAAGTGTGCTCAGCTGACCTTTGACCCCTCCCTTACCTCCCCTCAGCGACAGGAGGAGTGAGCGTGCTCCTGTTTCAGAGGCAGAGAGGGAGGTGACGGAAAAGTGCTCTCTCTCGCTCGCTCTCACTCTCAGTAATGCACACTGGAACGGGTGGCTCGGCATCAAAAGCCTCGCTCTCTGATCAGCTCTTTAAGGCGGGCCAGATGAGCGCCCGACTGGACACGCCACTTCAACAAGGAATTGACTGTTAGTGGAATAGGGGCTCCACTGTACGGAGCGGTCCAGGCCGACCACGGAGGGCGGATGTTGTCTAACAGCTGTAAATGGATATACATCACAGCCGCTGACTGAAGTGGTCGTTTACTGCGGGAAGGAAAACGGCGATCTCCTCTCCTCACAGCTGACACTGCAGCTAAAACGCTGACTCGCAGAATCCCTCATGTGGTCGTTTATCTTCATCGAGGTTTACGGACCTCTGTGACGACAAACGTCAGAGTGAATGAAATACTAGAGAGGAGAAGAAGCAGCTCTCTCCTCTGATTGGTTGATTTCTGATCATCAGATAATGTTGTTTTAATCACTCAGTTGTCGTACTTCCTAAACACAAACCTGATCATGTGACTGTAACAGCGCTTCACCTCCTCCTCCCTCCGCAGGTCTCCGTCAGGTATGATAGAAAGCACTCCTCAGCTGTTTGGGAACGCCTGGAGAGTCTCTTCGGCGTGCTCACCGAGTCTGAGTACGCCTCAGCTGGACCCCTGTGACACCCACCAGCAGGCCGGTCAGACTCTCACTTTTATACATGAAGAAAATTAAACAGGGGAAACTGACTCGTCTAAAACAGCTGGTTAACTTTGACAAACTTTTCTGGGAACTTTTTAAACCACGTTTATATCAGCTTTAACTCTTTTCTTACATGTAGCATGAGTTACCGAGTTAACCGAGATTAACGGCGTGACTGCAGGCAGACTAGATTATGTCCACCCCCTGACTGTCGGGTAGATAAACAGTCCAGAATCCTTATGGGGCGCTCACACCAAGCACGAGTAAAATCATCTACTCGCTTCATTCGCGCAAGCTAGACACGTGAATGAATAGTATTTACTCGCTTCATTCGCGCGTCAACGGTAATCCCTGCCAATTCAACCGGTGGGATCAAGTCATAGACCAAAGTTTTTTACCAGGTAATCCGACCTCCTCACTCACTTTCCTCCAGGCGAGCTCCTTTTTATTCCGGTTTCGGTAATTGAAAGAAAAGGTATCATATAATTCGGGGCTCCCACACAGAGAGAGCAGTAGGAGTAAAATCATTCGCGCGAATGAATTACATGTTAAGTCAATGCAAAGATGCGATCAGACGTTCCTAGTACTCTGGCGGCGCCAGTGACGTGAATTAGGCGGGAGTTAATAATGTCTCAACTTTAGTGGATATTTGTGTCGCATTAACTAATCAGCACGAAGGTTACTGAGTGACGTATGAAGATGGACGGTTGTTCACCGGTATCTAAAATGGAGAACAAATTGATCGTGTCTCTTTCAAAAATAAGAAAGAGCTCACCTGGAGGTAGGGAGTAGGGAGGTCAGATTATCTGGTAAATTGTTAAATACCTTTGTCTATCACTTGATCCCGCCAGTCGAACTGGCAGGGATTACCAGTGAAATTACCGTTGACGCGCGAATGAAGCGAGTAGATGATTTTACTTGCGCTTGGTGTGAGCGCCCTGTGGTCCGGAGAGTTTACTCACTCAGACCTTTATGAACCCAGGACTCAGGACTGTGTGTGCAGAGGGTGGGGTAGTGACCAAATAATGTTGTAAATGTAAGAACAACAAAGTAAAGCTGCAGGAATATTGAAGAGTTTAATAAAAGGTGTTTTTCCTGAGTTTGTGGGTCATAGATTGACTTTTATGAAGGATAATCTCTGAGTACAGTAATCTCAGTAATCTCTTTCCTCCTCTGCACTTTTCTATCTTCATGTTTAAAGTCTTATTTAGTGATTTTAAAAACGGTAAATGTTCGTTTGCTTTATTTGAATTTTATTTATTCTTCATTCAGATTAATTTAATCCGATTACAGCGGTCAAACCTTCCTGTCCTCTCTCTGTGTCCGTCCCTGCAGTGGCCTATTCCTCTCAGATGTGTGACGCCCTGAACCAGGACCTGTTCTCAGCCTGTCACGAGTACCTCAGTCCGACCCCCTTCCATCAGCAGTGTCGCTCTGACACCTGTAAGTGTGGGACGCCCTGTCTTTGCTCGGCGCTCGCACACTACGCTCGCCACTGCCGCCGATTCTCTGTCATCATCGACTTCCGCTCAAAGATTCCCGACTGCGGTGAGTGTTTTTTTTTTATCTCCAGAGGTTCACCTCAAATCTGTGTCAGAGGAGGACTCAGAGATACGCGGGTCCTGAAGGTAACCATCTGACACTGTCTCAGAGTCTAAAGTCTGTGTTCTGGAATCAGAGAGCTTCTGTTTAATCTGGAGTCTGTTTTATAAAGGAGGAGCTGAACAACTTAAAAAAACTTCAACCTCCATCCAAAGTCTGCAGGTGGAGTCTCTTTGTGGGTGACGTAGGTTTTCAAACTGCACTTTAAAAATAACAAAGTGACTTCCTCCACTTGTTCAGCTGCAGCCATACTGATTTATTTTTCACCCTGCAGTGTTTCCTGCCCATCTTCAGCCTTTTAACGACAAAAATCAGCTGATTGCACCTTTAAAGAGATTAATTAATGCGTTTATTAGAGAAAGTTGAGCTCGCTGCAGAGTTCGGTAGTTTTCTGTCTCATTTTTTAACCCTGTCCTCCCCACAGCGCTCACCTGCCCTCCAACCATGCAGTACAGCACCTGTGTGTCATCCTGCCAGCGCCGTTGCTCCGCCCTCTCCGTCCCGCATCACTGCGGGGAGGAGTGTGAGGAGGGCTGCGCCTGTCCTCAGGGATCCTTCTACAACCATCGAACACACACCTGTGTGCACAGGTAACGACAGGAAGGAGGAAATACATGAAAAAAACAAACACTTTTTAATGTTTCATTATTAACGATTTGACCCGTTTATCTCTTTTAGCACAAAGTACCTCCAAAGTGAAACGTCTGCAAACAGAAATATTGTTTTTCTGCTTCATTATAACGTCTGAAAATAAAGTTTACGGGGAATTCGAGCCAAAGTTTCCTCGTTTCCTCGTTTCCTCGTTTCCTCGTTTCCTCGTCCGTTTCATGTCCTCGTGCCTGACTGTGTGTTTGCAGCCAGTTTTCAGTAAACCGAGCCGAGGACGCTCCTCCAAACAGATCCTCTCTAAGTGATATTTGTATCTCCTGTGAAGTTTAGGTCAGCCCTTAAGTGGCGCGCTCTCTGAATCTTCCCCGCAGACGTTACAGACCTGGGTAATTGGGCTCTCTCTTTCAGCCTCTCCGGACTAAAAGACATGCAGCTTAATTCCTCTTAAATGTCCCAGGTTTTTACGTCCTAGTGCAGAGCAGCGCCTTACTTACCATGTGATCGAGTTACATCGAGGAATTCTCTGTGAAACCCCCCTTTCATTCCCACTCGGACACAGATATCTGATAACCAGTGAGAAAGAATTTGTAGTACAGACGCTGATGTGTGGAGCTGGTTTAGATCTCACAAAGCTTTCAGCAGATTTAAGACAACACGCTAATTTTTACATTTTTTTTTTTTGTTAATCTCAACAAGTGATTTGTGTAAAAAGATTAAAGTTCTCGGTGAGGCTGGGACACCTCAGCCGCTGATTTCACCTCTTTAAGCCTGCTTATCTGGGCCCTATCCCCTTACCTGTAATACTCTGTTTAAGGTAACACAAAGCCCTCTTTAACATAAATCTTTACACAATACTGAACCCAGCAGAATCAGAGCCTGCTGTTTAAGTATTCAGGAGCCTCCCGGAGACCTTTTGGACGCGGTCTGACTCGGTCCTCTGTGTGGTTTTCTCCAGGAGCGAGTGTCCCTGCAGTTTCCTGGGAGCAGATTATGAACCTGGAGATGTGATCATGACGTCAGCAGGTGTTCAGTAAGATCTTCTCCTCCATCTCTCACTGTCCGAGCACGCACAGATGTCACGTTTCTGATATTTAAAGTAATAATCTCTGTTTTTTTAATGAATGAGAGACTCTGAGCTCCTCCTCTTTCTCTAATAACACCGACTGAAGCTGTCAGTGAGGGTGAACCTCCTTGTTTCTCCTCAGTTTAGCCCAGTTTCATACGGTCTCATTTTTTATTTTGTTGTATTATGTTGTTTTGTGTCAGAGCTGAAGATGTCTGAGTTCACACACGGGTTATTCAAAGTTTATAAAAGTCTCAAAACGACCTGCAGTATCTACTCTTTTGTCGTCTATAACACTGAGAGTTGTTAGTTTTCTCTCTGAGTCCTGAAATACTCGTCTCTGCTCCTTCATCATGTGTTCACCTTCATCCTCTCATCCTCTCTCTCTCCTCTGCAGACTCTGTGTGAACGGTAAACTGGTGTCCCAGACAGCTGACAGTGGTGAGTCACATGATCAGAACAGGTTCAGTTCCTTATATGGTGTAATCTATGCTCATGGAAAACCTGGAAAAGTCCTTGAATTCCAAACCTGACTTTGAAAATGGTTCATAAATATTTTATAGTATCATTGTCTCAGCTCGCCCTGACACTCTCCTGACCTCCTCCTTCAGACAGGTTGTGTCCGGCTGGTCAGCTCTATCAGAACTGCTCGGAGGGAGAGGACGGCGTCTCGTCAGGAAGGGGCGTGGCCTGCGAGCGAACCTGCGAGTCCTATCTTCTCAACCTCACCTGTTCTGCACATGAACCCTGTGTGGCCGGATGTACCTGTCCGCCCGGGTGAGTGAAAACCAGACCGTCTGTTTTGGTCAGGTGTGGTCTACTCTGACGATGCTGGACGTCATTTTCGTGTTCGTGGTCATGTGATTCAGGATGCTGCCGCTGAAGATGGTGACCTTCAGAGATGAGTGTTGGTTAAACTCTGAGTCACTGAGGCTTGGTGGAGGGCCGGTTAAAGACGGGAATAATGTCACATGAGGCCGGAATAATCCTCTGACTCTTCCTGGCAGCAGGTCGAGCGTGAAAAGTCCCTGTGCTTAGTGATGCTGAGGGGAGGGGAGGGGAGGGCAGGCAGGAGGCGGGTCTTTACCTGGTCACTGACTTCGACTGAGAGTGACTGAGAGTGAGATTTATACAGACAGGAGACGTCTGAGAAATGTTTCCAAGGAGATAAAATTATGGGATAAGTGAGTAAAAGAGACAAAAGGACTGATTTTAAAGGAACTTCACAGAAGTTTAAGTTCAGCCTGCAGAGCGTCTCTGTGCTGAAATCAGCTGTCATGAATCCATTTTAGGGTAAACCGTCCCATACAAATAAACTTTATTTCAAAAAGCATGAAGTTAACAAACTTCGGCACAAACAGCCACATGGAGTCGGAGTCATATCGAGTAAAATTACAGTAAAAAATACTGAAAAATACTGTAAAAATACGGTAAAAAATACTGTAAAAAAGAGTAAAATTACAGTAAAAAATGCTGTAAAATACTGTAAAAAAGAGTAAAATTACAGTAAAAAATACTGAAAAATACTGTAAAAAAGAGTAAAATACAGTAAAAAATACTGAAAAATACTGTAAAAAAGAGTAAAATTACAGTAGAAAATACTGAAAAATACTGTAAAAAAGAGTAAAATTACAGTAAAAAATACTTTAAAAATACTGTAAAAAGAGTAAAATTACAGTAAAAAATACTTTAAAAATACTGTAAGAAAGAGTAAAATTACAGTAAAAAATACTGAAAAAATACGGTAAAAATACGGTAAAAAATACTGTAAAAAGAGTAAAATTGCAGTAAGAAATACTGTAAAAATACTGTAAAAAAGAGTAAAAATACAGTAAAACTACAGTAATTATACAGTAAAAATACAGTCCCCTGAGAGCAGGAGGGAACTGTGGCACCAGAGTCATATTCAGACTTCCCAGTGATGATGACCACAGAGTCCACCATAAATATGAAGATGTGTGTCTCTAAAGTTCGATGGTCAGTTCACATGACAACATCAGAAAGAGACGCAGCTCGCCAAACTAATAAAATAATTTATAATAACAGAAAAATGAAACAACGGAGAAAAGACGACAGGCCAAGATCTCCAATATTAGCACTTTTCTCTGACATAAACATGTGTTCACACTGAGCCTTCACAATACAGCCTGTGAATATTACTCCCACAGTACTACAATTATCATAATCATTACTATTATTACTGTTGTCATATCATAATTATCATAATTAAAAGATCAATCGATCAGGAGCTGTCAGAGGCTGTGAACCTCATGTCATTGAGGTTTGAAGAGACTTCTCTGAGTGTCAGTTTGAGACATTTGTGTTGCTCCTCACCAACTTGGACTGAGATCATATGTGATGATGAGTCTTAGATCATCTGTTGGAGACAATCGTCCTCACAGTCAGCAGATGAGCTGGACTGATATCAGGGCTGGATTACAGTAATCTGATCTCTATAATCCCGAGTGAAGTGGTTTCAGTCTGAGTCATCAGCCCAGAGTTTGTCTGGAGACAAAACGCACAGACAGCATCAGTCAGCGCACACACAGGCTTATCAATCAATCAGTCAATCAATCAATCAATCAATCAATCAATTTTTATTTGACACTTTGCAACAATCAGACAAACAGGAGCGCTCCAGCCCTCAGGTGTTAGACACGCCCACTCAAACACAGGATATAAAATAACGACCAGGTGAGAAAATGAGAATGTAATAGTTTTTTAAAGACATGATTTATAAACTTCAAGTTTCAATAGAAATACTTCAGAATATAGTACTTCATATAGATACATAAATACTTCAGAGTACTTCATATAAATGTGATACATTTGGTATTTTATTTAACGTGTGTGTAACTTTGGACAAATATATAAGCGAGAACTCTGCTCAGTATCTGTCCCAATATAAAGTAAAAATGTTTTATTGATATGAAGCCAAACATCTTTTATTGATATGAAGTTATCTTGAATTTTGTCACAGGGAACACAGGAAATCATTGATGCTCTGTTCAGAATTCTGCTTTTCTTTATAGAAACTAAAGTTAAATATTTGGTTAAAAGTATAACACATAAATAAAACATGTAAACAGTCTGAGTTTGTATCAGAGACACAAGAGAAAAGGTCGGACAGAAACAGAGACTGGAGGTGTTTTTAGAAAACTCGTCTTCACTGACGTCACTGTGATTCATCGCTTCCATGACCTTTTATTGGATGAAAATCTTACAAACTCTAAATCCCAGACAGTCGGTCATGGTGCAGGTCTGAAGGATCCCAGGAACCTGATAGTTTGACTTTAATTTGGTGGTAAATGTGGACAAAGAGACTTCATTCAGAGGTGACAGCTGAAGGTCAAAAGGCAGTGAGATGGTTAGCTGTGAGGGATCAGGAGATACTCCAACTATTCTGTTTATTTCTGTGTGATGAACCCTGAGAAGATCAGCAGATGTTCCCTCTGTCTGAACAACACTGCAGTGAGATGATTGTGACAGAGGGAACAACAACGAAAACCCGGTCTGAAGGTCCGCTGTGAGGCAGGACCCGAAAACCTCTGATGAGGAATAATTAGTGGAGGTGCTGACAGGAGACTCGGTTGTGTTTCATTCACAATGGCTCGCTGTGTTTATGATCAAAATGTCGACTATTCATTCCTTCCTCCGTCTGTGACAATTAGTCCAGCTGAGCTCATATGAAACTGGACCTTCAGGTGCAGAGCAGAACCAGGCGGCATACCAGAGTGGTTTCAGTATGGTCATGGAAACGGCGAGGAGCAGGAGTCTGCAGAGAAGATGGCGATCCTTCAACACCGAGAGCATTTTTGGTTTCTGTTGAAGGACCTCAGGTGGGCCACCCCAGTCGACACGGTCTGGTTCAGACCCTCAGGTCCAGGTCGCTCTATGTCTAATCTAAGAGTCGGTTCCTCAGCAGAGAGATGTGAAGTGTTTTTGTAGTTTGTTCTGGAGTGAAACGGCAGCAGACCAGGATCCATGTTTCCAAAGCAGAGATGTGACAGTCTGCAGGAGTGATGGAGTCCAATCAGTCCATTAGCCTTTCAGATGAGCAGATATGAGCTCAGATTACCTGCTGTGATCCTTTTAGCAGAGGTGAAGTTCTGAGGCGGTGATCGTGTGTTTGAGCGATGGTCTGACTGTATCACACACTTTCTCTGTCATACAAGAAAAGTTCAGCTTTAAACCCTTTACCTGTCCTAAATCGACCCGAGAAATGAAGATTAAATTATGGCCTACAGGGGGCGACGATCAATCAGGAAAATAGACTAAAAACCACCTCAAGATGAAACATGAACAGCTGACTGAAGCAGAAACTCATCTTAATAGACCCAAACTTTACTTTACTAAACTTTACTTTACTTTACTGTTCTTTACTGTATTTAACTTTACTTTTACTGTACTGGACTTGATTTTGATTTACTTTATTTCACTTAACTTTGCTTTACTGTATTTAACTTTATTGTACTTAACTTAAATTTGCTTAACTATACTTTACTGTACTTTTCTTTGATTTACTTTAATCAACTTAACTCTACTGTACTGTACTTTAGTGTTTTATTGTAGTTTACAGGAGTTTTCTTTACTGTATTTAACTTAACAGTACAGCACGTTACTATACTTTACTGTACTGTACTTTACTGTACTGTATTTAACTTTACTTTACAGTACTTTGCTGTATTTAACTTTACAGTACTTTGCTGTATTTAACTTGACTTTTCAGTACTTTACTGTACTTAACTTACATTTGCTTAGCTATAATTTACTGTACTTTTCTTTAATTAACTTTAATTTACTTAACTTTACTTGACTTGACTAGACTGTACTTAACTTTACTATTTTTAATGTACTAAACTGTACTTTACTGTATTTAACTTTACAGTACTTCACTGTACTTAACTTGACTGTACAGTACTTCACTGTACTTAACTTGACTGTTGAGTACTTTACTGTACTTTACAAACCAAACATAGCCAGTTCTCTGCAGTCGCCTTATAACTGATTGAAGTACTTTTGATGACGGTACTGTAGACCCTGACCCCGCCTCCTCCGGCTCTGATAAATGTGGTCTTCAGTGGGACTCCTGCTCTCCAAAGATGACTCCTCCTCCTCTCTGTGAAATTTGATCCTCCTCAGTTTTTTTAATTATTATTATCTGTTAGATTTAAACCCTACTGAGTCCTGTGGTTCTGAAAACGTCTTCTGAGCGTGGATGTGGGTCTGGAGCAGAGATGATTCTGGAGGCTTTGATCAGAATACTCGATACGGCGGGTTGGCGGGCGGATAAAGGAAGCTGTTAGCGGGGTTTTATCTGCGATGTAACTCTACTCAGATGAACCTGAGGTTTGTGTCGGGACCATTCAGTTTGTCACTTCAGTGTCTGCAGCTCAACTCGGGATATTACAAGATACTTATCAGCCCCGTCCTGCAGAGTGGAGAGCAAATGGAGGCGTCCAGACAAAGACGGTTTCTCTCTGTATCTCTGAGAATCCTAATTGTCTGGTTTTCTCATGTAGCCAACAAGTGTTAGCGCTTTTCATCCGCAGCTGCCCACCCCCAAACTCTCGCTCTCTCTGGTTTCCTGGGATTGCTCTGAATCTGTTGGAGAAGAGTCCACATATCAGGAGGGAAGGTTCTGGTACGGCTGGGCAGCATCTTATTAGATTGAATAAAAGATAATGTTACTGTGCAGTACGGAGGAGAAACGTTTGGATGATTTTAGGGACCAGGACTGACAGGAGAACTACAAAACATTAGAGATACAGTTTTTGACATTATCAAAATTTAAAATAGGAAATATGAAATCACGCCAAAAGTTCAGACAGCAAAGAGAGGTCAACGGAAAGAAAACGTTTTTACGTTGTTACAGATTAATGCATTTGTTCCTCACTCTGAAAACTCCTCACTGTGTCTTTAAACTTTGAAATAACAGATGTTTCATGACCTGGATCAGTTCGTCTCAGACTCCTACAGCTGATTTCAGGTCAGTTAGTCGATCCATGAAAAGTCTAACAGGTTTGTTTGTTTGTTTTCTCAGTTTACTGAAACATGGAGACGAGTGTTTCGAACCTTCATCCTGTCCTTGTCTGTGGAAAGGAAAAGAGTATTACCCTGGAGAGAGAGTCTCCTCCCCCTGCCATCAGTGGTGAGACATCTATCTATCTATCTATCTATCTATCTATCTATCTATCTATCTACCTTCCTTCCTTCCTTCCTTCCTTCCTTCCTTCTTTCTTATCTTCCTTCTTTCCTACCTACCTTCCTTCCTCGACCCCTTCTTCCTCCCTTCCTTCTCGTCTTCCCTTCTCCTTCCCCTTCCTTTCTCCCTCCCTCCTTCTTTCCTTCTTTCCTCTCTTCATTCCTTTCTTCCTTCCCTTCTTCCTTCCCTTTTTCATTTATCCCCCCCTTCCTTCATTTTTCCTTCCTTCCTCCCTTCCTTCCTTCCTTCCTTTCCTTCTTCCTTCATTTTTTCTTTCTTCTTTCCTCCCTTCCTTCCTTCCTGCCTCCCTTCCTTCTTCTTCTTTCCTTCCTTCCTCTCTCTTCCTCCCTTCCTTCATTCCTCCCTTCCTTCCTTCCTTCCTTCCTTCCTCCCTTCCTTCTTCTTTCCTTCCTTCCTCTCTTCCTTCCTCTCTTCATCCCCCTTCTTCCTCCCTTCCTTCTTTCTTTCCTTCCTCTCTTCCTCCCTTCCTGCCTTTCCTACCCCCCTTCCTTCTTTCTTTCCTCCCTTCCTTCTTTCCTCCCTTCCTTCTTTCCTTCCTACCTTCCTTCCTTCCTTCCTCTCTTCCTCCCTTCCTTCTTTCTTTCCTTCCTCTTTTCCTCCCTTCCTTCTTTCCTCCCTTCCTTCCTTCCTCCCCCCTCTCTTCCTCCCTCCCTTCCTTCCTCCCTTCCTTCTTTCCTACCTTCCTTCCTTCCTTCCTCCCTCCTCTCTTCTCTCTTTCTTTCCTTCCTCTCTTCCTCCCTCCCTCCTTTTCTCTTTCCCTCTCTTCCTCCCTTCCCATTTTTTCCTTCCCCTCTTCCTCCCTTTCTTCTCTCCTACCTCCCTCCCTCCCTTCCTTCCTCCCTTCCTTCTTTCTTTCCTTCCTCTTTTCCTCCCTTCCTTCTTTCCTCCCTTCCTTCCTTCCTCCCCCTCTCTCACCTGTCGCTCTCATGTATTTTTTCATCCTTCCTCCTGATCCTCTGTAAACCCTCACCTCTTACATGTTTTCGGTCTGATCTCCATCAGTGCGTCTCCTCGTTTCTCAGCGTCTGATTGGTCGTGACAGTGAAGACCCCCTCAGGTGGTCTGAGCAGCAGAAGAGTCCACCTGATATCTGAACCGCTCGGTTATCAGAGGACAGAGAGAGTCGTGGAAACAGAGAAACTCTTTGATTCCCTCTGGTGAAAGGAAACTCTCTCCTGATGATCTCAGTCTTTCTCCTAACCTCCCATCTCTCCTTCACGCCGTAGTCGGAGAAGATGATGTAGATGACAGCCTAATGAGCGCCGATTCAGCCGTCCACTTCTCCGCCGGCTGTAAACCCGAGGCGCTTCACAAAAAGACTCTATTAGAGGAGAAAAAACGCTCGGGAACAAAGTGGGAACAAGTTGTTGCTGAATGGCTGAAGCTCTGCTCTCTTTGTAGTGTTTGCCAACATGGGACCTTCCAGTGTGACTTCCAGCCGTGCCCGTCCATGTGCATGGCCTACGGAGATCGCCACTACAGGACGTTTGACGGACTGCTGTTTGACTACGTGGGCGCGTGCAAAGTCTACCTCGTGAAGGTACTTAAAGTCTTTATTCCCAGAGGAGCCGCTTTACTTCTTATTTAGTAGAAGTCTTCCTGTTAAAATGTTTTTATTGATTTCAATCAGAGAAACACTTTGATCACATGACGCAGACAAAGTCGTACCTACAGTTTAACTCCTCCCCCTTTAACCCTCCGTACTTCCTGTCCCTCAGAGCAGCGCAGACGTGATGCTCAGCATCGCCGCCGAGAACGTCGACTGTTTCGACAGCGGCCTCATCTGCAGGAAGTCTCTGTTGATCAACATCGGGAGGTCCTACGTGGCGTTTGATGACGACACGGGGAAGCCGGTAAGAGTCTCTGTGGACGGGTTTTATACTTCGACACATTTTTATAAAAGTTTTCTTTTCTTCGCTCGTCCACCAGATCTAAACTGTCCTCTGTCCCCCTCAGAACCCGTCCAGTGTGATCGACCGTAAGCAGAGGATGTTCATCTGGCCAGCAGGATACTACACTGTGGTCCACTTCCCAGAGGAAGACGTCACCCTCCTCTGGGACCGCAAGACCACCGTCCACATCCAGGTCGGACCTCGCTGGCAGGTGAGACGTTTTGTGGCTCATGAAACTACATTTCCTTTCAAAGCTGCATCTTTTCCTCCTGACCTTGTTTTCTCCTGGTTCGTGTTTTCAGGGGAAGCTGAGCGGACTGTGTGGAAACTTTGACATGAAGACGGTGAATGAGATGCGGACGCCGGACAACATCGACTCTCCGACTCCTCAGGAGTTTGGAAACAGCTGGACGGCTGCAGAGGTGAGTGACAGAGAGCCAACACGACGTCAACACGACGGCGAAGCACGGCGAGTCTGAGCGGTGAAGTTTCACAGGCTGAAAAACTGTGAAATGCTCCTTTATCAGGTTGAAGATACACTCAAAGGTTAACTTCAGTTCATCTGTGTGTGTGTGTGTGTGTGTGTGCGTGTGTGTGCGTGCTCAGTGTGTGAACAGTCCTGACATCAGACACCCCTGCAGCCTCAGTCCTCTCAGAGAACCCTTCGCCAAGCGTCAGTGTGGCGTTCTGCTCAGTGAGGTTTTCCAGGCCTGCCACCCGGTGGTGAGTAAACAGACGACTCAGCAGGTCTGCGGTCTCTTCTCTAAACTCTGGAGACCCTCATGTTGAACGTCACAGTCCCCTCTGATCCATCTTCACTCAAGTTTATTAAAAAAAACTTTTCCTCTGATTTGATTGGAGGAGATCAAACTTAAACACGCCGCTGTGATCACTAATAAAGCGTTTTTATTTCCAGGTGGATGTGACCTGGTTCTACATGAACTGCCTCGCCGACACGTGTGCCTGCAGTCGTGGAGGAGACTGCGAGTGTTTCTGCACCAGCGTGGCGGCGTACGCTCAGCGCTGCTGCCACCAGGGCGTCCCCGTGGACTGGCGCTCCCCGTCTCTGTGCCGTGAGTCCGACCCCAGAGATAAAAACCGATCTCTGTTTTAACCTGATATCTCTGCTAACTTCCTGTCTGCTTCTCTCTGCAGCGAACGACTGTGAATACTACAACAAAGGTAAGATCTGAAACAGGTGAACATGATTCAACTGAGCATGTGCGAGCGCCAACATGTCCTCCTTCTCCTCCTCCTGTGAACAGTTCTGGGTAAAGGTCCGTTCAGGCTGACCACCTTCAGAGACCGGACAGCCTGGTTAGCAGCCAGCAGGTCCAGCGGTTTGGTGTTCCTGCAGAAAGGCAACCTCAGTGACATCACGGCGCCCCGGGTCCTCTCGCAGTTCATGATGACGCCCGGCCTCAGCAGAGCCCGCCCACACGGTGAGTTTTTCTCACACACGGCTGACTTTGGCTCCTTGTTTTTAAAGTTCAGTCAAACTGTCAGGAATCCTGAAGTGATTTTTAACTCCTGAAGTTTAACAAACATCGATCATGTTTTCAGGACGAGTTTCTTCCAACTTCCAAGGTCAAAATATTTTTAAACCGTCACGACCTTGAGATAACCGTCCTCGCTCTAATCAGTACAAGATTAGAGGATTATAATTCACTTTATGTCGACATTTCCCGATCATCTCTCATGCTGCCCGTCTTCTAACCGACACTAACAGACGTGAGAACATCACTCCTGTCCTCAGCTCTCTTCATCGTCTTCATCGTCTTCTCGTCTCTTTTAGGATCTATTTTAAACTTTTAAAGTTTGTTTTTAAAGCTTCTAACGGTCTCGCCTCCGTCTATGTAACTGAGCTTTTAACCGTTCAGGAGCTCTGAGGTCGTCAAACCGACTTCTGCTGGAGGTGTCCAGGTCAAAACACAAACACTGAGGTGACCGAGACGTTTCAGCCGCTGGTCCCAGACTCTGGAATAAACTCCGAAATGAGACTTATCTCTGACCTGGACCTTTTTAACTCCCGATTGAGAACTCATTTATTTATGCTGACTTTAATACCCAGTAGTGCAGTGACATTTTAATTTATTGCGTTGTATTTTATTCTTCTTTTATTGTTTTTATTTATTCATCTTTATTTTCTGTTGTAAAGCACTTCGGTTCACCTAAAGGGTTGTTGTAAAGGGCTGTGTGAATAAAGAACATTTACATTTACACAAAAACTGACCTTTTATCTGAACTGTGTTTCAGGAAAATTCATTTATTAACTGTATTTTAAAGAAACGACCTCACAGGATCAAACCCACTCTGACTCAGTACTAAAGCGGCGTGCAGACTGAAGTTTGTCGGCGTGCTCCTCCTCCTCCTCCTCCTCCTCCTCCTCAGTTTCCTCTGCGTTCAGCAGTGTTTGGGATGATTTAAGTGTCTCTGTAGAAACACTGAAGGAGGAGATGGACTTCAGGGGCAGACCGGTTCACAGATCAGATTACTAAATGCTAAAACAGGAACTTGATCTGCGGGTTTGTCTGAGAGCCAAGGCTGGGACTTAAACTGAAGTCCTGTACTCCTGTAGTTCTTTAATCGGTTTCTTCTTTAAATCCAGTTCATGTTTCATCCTGTTTCTCTGCGGAGTCTCATAAAGTACTCATAAATATCTTGTTCTGGTCTTCACAGACACGTCCCGGGTCTCCTTCGAGTCCACAGACCGGCCAAACTACTTCCTGCATGCGAGCCCCAGAGGCCAGGTGAGGCTGGCCAAGTGGGAGGACAGCGAGGCGTTCTGGGACGGAGCCACCTTCGTCCTCCACAGGAACACCTGGGTACCCGGGTATGACTCCCTGGAGTCCCACGCCAAACCCGGGTTCTTCCTGTACGCCATGCTGCCCCGCCTCCATCTGCTCAAACACAGACACACCGAGAGTTTCCGCAAGGCCACGCTCTTCAGACTCGCAGGTCAGCAGAAACCACTGAGAGGTCTACAGAGAGAGTCCTGACAGAGAACCTGGACCTGGAGTAAAACCAGATTATTAACAGACTTAGTGAATTCTGGGTTTCAGCTATAGAAGGGTAGGAGACTCTGGTGGTTTCTCTGCAGGTGAACTCGGTCCTCAGCTCCTCTTTCTTCAGTCAAAGGTCACGACCAAGAACCTCTGAACCCACATGTATGTTCTCCTGAAAGATCACTGCGTCTAAAAATACAGCAGAGTTTGTTTGAGTTGGTGGAAAAGTGGAGGAGCCAGCAGCAGATCCTGTTTCCTCTTAGAGCAGCTTCCTAAATAAACGACATGTCTGCTCCGTGAAAACAGCGAGTCTTTACCCAGAACCTTTAATCATGGAGGCAGACGCTAACCTGAACCCTCTGAGGGACTTTAACCGACTTTATGACAGCGCTTTGACCTGCTGCAAAACACACGAGAGTTTTTAAGATACAGTATTTTATCTGTTTGAAATGATCATTATCAATCAATCAATCAGTCTTTACTTATATTGGACTTTTCATACAAAAAACGATGTAGGACAAAGTGTTTTACACAGCAAAGAAACAAAGAAACAAAGAAAACCCAAATCTAACCCAACCCCTCATTCCCACCACGCAATCTGAGCTCAACAGAAACAGAATTAAAATACATGAACTTAAAAAGGTTTGATTTCATAGAAACAGGAAAGTGAGCACTGAGGAAACGCTGTTTTAAAACTCAAGATGATGAAACACTGGAGGTTAAAAATCTAAAAACAAAGTAAGAGAATGAAATTTAAGAAATGATTAATAAAATTAAATAAAAGCAACAACAAAGATAGTAAAATAAGAGCACCAAGAAAAGACGATCCTGTCATTCAAATTAGAAGAGATAAATGTTAAAACATTTAAAGTTGATGATATAAAATTTAGATAAAAGAAAAACTGAAAAGGTTTGTTTTGAGTTTGGTATTAAAATCATTAAGATTATCATTTTATTTACTTAGTCGACCAGGAAAAACGTCTATAAATCAACATTTGAAGGGTTTAATCAACTGAGACACTCAGAGGTTATTAATACTCTACTGTAAAATATGTAATGAGTAAAAACTCAGACTGTGACATTTTTAAAATCAGGTTAATCACAGAAGCTTAACAATCAAACACAATTGACCTTATTAAAAAAATATTTATTTGATTAAGAGTCTAACAATTGTCAAATTCTGTTAATTTTCACTTTGTTCACGTTCTCCTGAGTTAAAAAAGTAAGGAGCACAAAGACCTTTAGAGAAAACGTTCAGTTTGTTGATCCTGAGGGCCGACACAGTAACAGTAGTAAACTGTGCGTCCCTTTAGAGAAGACAGTGGAGGTCTAAATCTGATCTGTCCTCTCAGCTCCCAGCCCGGACTCTCCTCCTGGTCCTCGATGTCAGTGGAGGTACGACTCCTGCGTCGTCCCGTGTTTCAAGACCTGCAGTGACCCGAGAGCTGAAGCCTGTGTCAGCATCCCAGAGTGAGACCTTTGACCTTTAGTCCTCCAAGTTTACAGACCGGTTTCTCCCAGACCTCTTTGACTCACGATCTCTGCTGTCTGTCTGTGTCTGCTCAGAGTGGAGGGCTGCCTGCCTGTCTGCCCTCCTCACATGGTCCTGGACGAGGTCACCCGCCGCTGCGTCTACGTCGAAGACTGTGAGTGTCACATGGTCGCAGACGTTAAACTTGTTCCTTGGAGGGTGCGGTGTCAGGGGGTTTCGGTTACGACTAGATAGAGAATCACATGAAAACCACGACCTCCCAGTTTGGCGGTCTACATAAGTCTAGAAGCTCTGACCCGTTTTTTATCGCTTCTGTCGTCAGGCATCAAGGTCCCGGTTTCCTGGCAGCTTCCAACGCCATCGACCGCTCAGCCGACCTCCACAGCTGTCTCCTCATCGACCGCCAAAGACGCCGCCGCTTCATCCACCTCTGTCAAGACCACGACCACCACAGCAGCGTCCTCCAACCCTCTACACTCAGCTTCATCCACCTCCTCCAAAACCAGCACAGCGCCCCCTGCTGTCAGCGCTCAGACAGCAACGTCTAAGTCCCCGTCTGCTCCAGAGGAACCGCCACGTCCAGTCACCAGTCCAGCTCCTCCTGCACCTCCGGAGGTTCCCAGAACAGCAGGACCTCCATCAGCTGTCAGTCCAGCGGAGGCGGTGTCTCCTGAAGCCTCAGCGACCACAGAAACATCTCAAACTTCAGGGACATCTGGAGCTGTGAGGTCTACCAGCAACCCCTTTGGTCCAAGTACGTCCAGAACCAGCAGCGCCCCCTTCGCCATCACGTCTGCGCTCTGGCTCACCGCCACCACCAAACCCTCCGACTTCTTCAAACCGTTCTTCACCTCCACCACTGAAACCTCAAAGTCATCTACAGCTGAAGGACCAACCAGAAGCTCCGCCCCAGAGTCCACCACCATCACAACCTCCTCCCCTAAAGAGACCTCAGGAGCTTCATCTCCATCTACACCAGTTCCTCCAGCAGAAACCAGGACCAGTCCAAGTTCTGCTCCAGTCTCAGAGACGTCTCCAGAGAAGACCACTGTTCCCAGTCCAGCTCCCACTGAGGTCAGCACAAAACCAGCGACCGTGGAGCAGCCTCCTCCAACCACGACTGCAGTTATCCAGCCCAGCACCGCCTCCTCCTCCACCTCTCCACCTCCTCCTCCCATGTCTCCACCTGTTGGAGATGGAACCACGTCTCCACCTCCAGGTGATTCGGTGAGAACCTCAGAGTCGGTCTCGTCTGGAGCTTCTCTCTCCACAAGTCCAGAACCAACACCAGAACCCGTTTCCACAGAGGAACCTCGTCACACTTCTCCACCTGAACCAGACGTTTCTCCAACAACTGTTCAGGAGTTATCATCTTCAGCAGCTACACCTCCTCCAGCACCAACCACGACCTCCACGACCTCAGCTGCTACAGACTGGAGAACAACGACCACAGAGAGACCCACCACACCTGGATCTGAAACATCTGCAGCTACCACAACAGCTGCACCTCCACCTTTGAGGACCACAGAAACCACAGCTTCTCCTGCATCCACCACCACCACCACCACCCGTTCTGAGAGGACCTCCTGGTCTGTCTCCATCTTTACACCAAAGGAGACCACAACGTCAGGACCTCCAGAGGTTCCAGACAAGTCCACAAGACCTTCTGTGACAACACCACCAACAAGACCGACCTCCACCGTGCCTCCTTTACCAACGACAGAGAGCTCCACCCAGACCCGGTCCACCACCCAGACCTCTGAGCCACCAGAGTGGGGGGTCACTCATCGGGAAACGTCTCTGACCCCGGTCTACAGTCCAACAATGAAGACCACACCAGAGTCCACGTCTGAAGACACCACCCCCGCCCTCACACAGCTGCCCCATCTCCCTGCTACACCCAAGCCTGACGTCACCTCTGCTGCATCATCTGCTGCGACCACGACCACGACCACGACCACGACCACGACCACGCCCAGGTCTACAGCCGCCCCTGAAACCTCAGAAACCTCAACGTCAACTACCAAGACTCTGGACACACCCGGTCCTGAACCCGGCTCTCCTGAGACCACGGTGTCCACAGATGCCACGCCCACCCTCGTTTCCACCACCCTCAGACCCGGAGATGAACAGCCGGTCGCTCAGACGACACATCCGCCCACCAGCAGGGCGGAGGTGCAGACATGGTCGACCACCAAGCTGCCGCCATCTTGGTCTCACACAGCTGACTCCACTACAGGTCCGAGGTCCACGGCGGTCCAGGATAGAGTCACCACCAGACCGGTCTCCACCTCAAGAGCTGCACCTGCACCAACCACCACCACCCACAGAGGTCCTGTGACCTCCCGAGTGACCACGAGAACCACGTCCACTCAGAGGTCCACCGTCAGGCCCATCACTGCCAGGGTTACCGTAGCAACAAGACCTCCAGCTGTAACCACCAGACCGACCACTCTTGGATCCCCGACTGTCCCGCCGTTCTCTGACACAACGACCACACCAGGAGCTCCACCTGCACCGTCCACGGAGTCCAGATCGACAGAGGAGACCAGAACAACCACAGCAGGTCCTGGCCCGACCTCTGTGACCCCCCCACCGCCTGTCCCCCCTCAAACAACAGTCCCGACAACCACAGCTGGTCCTGCAGAGACCACCAGAGACACATCAACATCTGAGGAAACCCCTAAAGTGTCTCCGTCCACTATCAAAGCTGAAACATCTCCACCTGAAGCCCCCAGCTCCTCCACCCTGCAGCCTGATACTCCCACTTCCTCTACAACCTCAGCACCAGCAGCAGCCACCTCAGAACTGGACCGAGTGGACCAGGACCGAGTGGACCGCACTAGTCCAGGCGTGACGACACCAACCGCTACAGCTTCACCTCCATCTCCTCTGGAAACGACCAGACACACCACAGAGGAGAGGAGGTCCACGCCTGCTTCACCTACAAGGATGTGCACCGTGAGTAAAAGTGCTTCTTCTCATGAGCTCCGTTTGATTCTCCACTCAGAGGTCCGATTATTTTGTTCTGAACTAAGAGTGTGGCGTTTTTCAGAATAGAAGTCACAGCCAGCCAATCACAACCAAGTTAGAAAGATGAACTGAAGCAGAGGGCGTGTCCCACAGCAGAAGATCTTCTCCATCTCTGGTTTCTCTTCACCTTTAAATCTTCCTCTCGTTGATCATTTCTACCGTTTAAGAAACATTAGTCATGTTGACATCAGCAAAATTACTCGATCCGATTAAAAATTTGAGGGATCAGAAAATCTGAATCTGCTGTTTATACGGGCGCAAAATTGAATCACAGAGTGTCTGATTTCTCTAAAACAACCACAGAAGAAGAAGAAGAAGAAGAAGAAGAAGAAGAAGAGTCGTATTTCTGCCTGTTCTGTCAACAAACCAACAAACGCCGTAGTGGTTCACTTCATCCAATTCAGGAGTTTCCCTTCTGTTAAATGTTGTCACTAGATGGCGCCCTCATGTACTAATTTTACTGTCCTGTCAAAGGTTGTACCGTGCGTGCAGGTGTGACATCATCACGCTGTTTGTACGCCTCGTTAAGTTACCGGAGGAGCAGACGTGACTCCTGAGTGTTGATGATAAAACCTCCTGAACTGACCTCGATAAATAAAGAGTGAAGACGGAGTCAGGTTAGAGAGTCACGATCGGAATAAGTCTTTACATGGACCAAGTTTCGGAATAACGATCGGCTGAAACCACCTCTCTCGATCAGAATACAATTTCTCTCCGATTGAGACGAATTGGATCAGAATCTTCCGATCGACGTGTTTAAATGACGCTTTTTTATTCCGATTATTTATGCCCATGTAAACGCAGCTAGTGATCAGATGGTGGCGTTTAAATCAGTTTCCTCATTTACACACGAGTTCTAATCAAAACCAAGACTGAGCCAAAACCTGGTTCTGTGTTCTGGAGTCGGTTCTGTTGGTTCTGCTTTTAGTCTTTTGGGTTTTCAGCTGTGGTTTGTCTCCTCCCAGCCTCCGTACGCTGAGATCGTCGATGAGTGTACGAAGTACATCTGCGTCAACAACCAGCTGGTCCTCTTCAACAAATCCCAGAGCTGCCCCTTCACCTCAGACCCGCCCAACTGCGGCCTCCTCGGCTTCGCCATCCTGATCAACGGGGACAAGTGCTGTCCGAAGTGGGACTGTCCGTGTGAGGAAAACTGGTTCTTGATGATCCAGACCAGAATATTTCCCTGCTGAGGTGGACCTGAATCCGGTTCCAGGTTTTCTCTGACCTCTGGTTTCGTTTCAGGTCGCTGCTCCATGTTTCCGGATTTAAACGTCATCACCTTCGACGGGAACAGCGTCGCCGTCTACAAAGCTGCGTCATACGTGGTGACTCAGCTGCCCAACGAGACCGTCAGCGTCCTGGTCCAGGAGTGTCCCGCTGACTCGGAGTCTCCGGTGAGTAGACGTCACGTCTTACAGGTGTCAGTGATTTGGTTGGTTCTGGTTCTGATTTTCTGCTTCTTCTCCAGCTCCTCTGGAACTTCACAAACCTGTGTCTGGTGGCGCTCAACATCACCCACAACTCCAACCACATCATCGTCGACCGGCTGCAGCGGAGGGTAAAGAAACGCGAGTTTAGTCGAGGTTTGAGGAATCAGGAACTCAGAGTGAAAATAATAAATCTGTTTGTTTGTTTGTTTATTTGTTCGTCTGTTTGTTCGTCTGTTTGTTTGTTTGTTTGTCTGTTTGTTTGTTTGTTTGTTTGTTTGTCTGTTTGTTTGTTTGTTTGTTCGTCTGTTTGTTTGTTTGTTTGTTTGTTTGTTTGTCTGTTTGTTTGTTTGTTTGTTCGTCTGTTTGTTTGTTTGTTTGTCTGTTTGTTTGTTTGTTTGTTTGTTCGTCTGTTTGTTTGTTTGTTCGTCTGTTTGTTTGTTTGTTTGTTTGTTTGTTCGTCTGTTTGTTTGTTTGTTCGTCTGTTTGTTTGTTTGTTTGTTCGTCTGTTTGTTTGTTTGTTTGTTTGTTTGTTTGTTCGTCTGTCTGTCTGTCTGTCTGTTTGTTTGTTTGTTTGTTTGTTTGTTTGTTTGTTCGTCTGTTTGTTTGTCTGTCTGTCTGTCTGTTTGTTTGTTTGTTTGTTTGTTTGTTTGTCTGTTTGTTTGTCTGTTTGTTTGTTTGTTTGTTTGTTTGTTTGTTTGTTTGTTTGTTTGTTTGTCTGTTTGTTTGTTTGTTTGTTTGTTTGTCTGTTTGTTTGTTTGTTTGTTTGTTTGTCTGTTTGTTTGTTTGTCTGTTTGTTTGTTTGTTTGTTTGTCTGTTTGTTTGTTTGTTTGTTTGTTCGTCTGTTTGTTTGTTTGTTTGTTCGTCTGTTTGTTTGTTTGTTTGTTTGTTCGTCTGTTTGTTTGTTTGTTTGTCTGTTTGTTTGTTTGTTCGTCTGTTTGTTTGTTTGTTTGTTTGTTTGTTCGTCTGTTTGTTTGTTTGTTCGTCTGTTTGTTTGTTTGTTTGTTCGTCTGTTTGTTTGTTTGTTTGTTTGTTCGTCTGTCTGTCTGTCTGTCTGTTTGTTTGTTTGTTTGTTTGTTTGTTTGTTTGTTCGTCTGTTTGTCTGTCTGTCTGTCTGTCTGTTTGTTTGTTTGTTCGTCTGTTTGTTTGTTTGTCTGTTTGTTTGTTTGTTTGTTTGTTTGTCTGTTTGTTTGTTTGTTTGTCTGTTTGTTTGTTTGTTTGTTTGTTTGTTTGTTTGTTTGTTTGTTTGTTTGTTTGTTTGTCTGTTTGTTTGTTTGTTTGTTTGTTTGTTTGTTTGTCTGTTTGTTTGTTTGTTTGTTTGTCTGTTTGTTTGTTTGTTTGTTTGTTTGTTTGTTTGTTTGTTTGTTTGTTTGTTTGTTTGTTTGTTTGTTGTCTGTTTGTTTGTTTGTTTGTTTGTCTGTTTGTTTGTTTGTTTGTTTGTTCGTCTGTTTGTTTGTTTGTTTGTTCGTCTGTTTGTTTGTTTGTTTGTTTGTTCGTCTGTTTGTTTGTTTGTTTGTCTGTTTGTTTGTTTGTTTGTCTGTTTGTTTGTTTGTTTGTCTGTTTGTTTGTTTGTTTGTTTGTTTGTTTGTTCGTTCGTCTGTTTGTTTGTTTGTTTGTTTGTTCGTCTGTCTGTTTGTTTGTTTGTTTGTTTGTTTGTCTGTTTGTTTGTTTGTTTGTTCGTTCGTTTGTTCGTCTCTCAGCTCTACGTGAACTCTCGGTACGCCCGACCTCGGTTCAAGAAGTTCGGCTTTGAGATCTACGACACAGGAAACATGTACCTGATCCGCAGCCCGGCTGGTCTGAAACTGCAGTGGTACCACAGTACGGGGATGATGGTGATCGACACCGATGGGTCCAGCAACAAACTCCCCACCATGGGACTCTGTGGTAAGACCATCAGCCGGACCTGGTTTCTGATGTAGTCCCTTAAACAGTCCAACAGTTTTTCCTCTTTCTGGATCGTCTCAGAGGTTTAAAGAGGAGTTCTCAAAGTGAAGTCCAGACTCAGGGTCCGACTCTGCTGGGTTTCTCTCTGGTTCTGTCCATCTAGACTATAGAGACTCCCTCCATGAAGTTCCATGACAGAGAAGTGAATCTAGATTATTTTATATCCTCCAGGTTTCTGTGACGGAGACCCGACAAACGACCTGACTTTGGCCAACGGCACCACCGTGGGGGTCCATGAAGACCCGGCCCTTTTCATCGACAGCTGGCAGGTTCCCAACACCACCAGCTACGTCAGCAACAGCCGCCGCCGAGAGCTCAACTGCTCCACCAGCGACTGCTCCAGCTGCCTCCACATGCTGCAGAACGACGCCTTCACTCGCTGCCACGCCTTTGTACGTCAGCTGATCGAGTCTGAGTATCAGTTAAAACATTTTGAAATTAGTTTAAACTTTTACTTCCCCTGGTTCAAAACAGTCCACTCACTCATTAAATCATGTTTTAAAACGTCCGTCTGTTTCCAGGTCCCTCCCAGCACCTTCTGTGAGGTTTGGATACGAGACGCAGAGTATGTCAACAACCAGTGTGTGGCGCTGGCTGCGTACGTCGCTTCTTGTCATAAATTCAACATCTGCCTGGAGTGGAGGAGACCAGATTACTGCCGTAAGACTTAAGTCGTCTCGTAGCTCGGTCGACTTCGACAGTAAAGTTTTAAAGTCACTTTTAACCTGATAGAGGAAGTTTGCAAAGATTAAAAACTCTGAATAAAGATGTTTTTGTTTTTCTGGACTGTCTTCATGTCTGTGTCGGTCTCTCTTCCTGCAGCTTTCCTCTGTCCCGGGTCTCTGCGGTATCAGGCCTGTCTGCCCACCTGCACGTCTCAGTCCTGTCCGAATCACGACTTTGACTCAGACCCAGACCAGTGTTCAGGACTGACGGAGGGCTGCGTGTGCCCAGAGGGGACGCTCCTCCACCGACCCTACTCCGCCCTCTGCATCCCACCTGAGAAGTGTGGTAAGACTCTGGAGTACAGACCTAAAGTCTACGTTTATTTCAGGACAAGTTCAGGTTGTAGAAGTAAAAGTTTTAATACCTCTTCAGCTCTGTCTGTCTGTAACCTCTGACTGAACTTTGGCGTCTGCAGCTTGCACTGACAGCTCAGGCGTTCCTCGTTCACACGGCGAGGTCTGGAAAGCCTCGAAGGACGCCTGCTGCATGTACCGCTGCGACAACGACACCATCGTCCCCGTCGAGTACAACTGCTCCAACATGGCCGCCCCCGTGTGCCATCGAGCCGGAGAGGTGATCATCAGCCTGGCCGACGACACCAGCTGCTGTCCGCAGAAAGTCTGCAGTGAGTCCAGAGTCTGTTTGAGTCAGAGGAGGAGGATCTAGGTATGATATATCTATAATAACTGATCATGTGACCTCTGCAGTGTGTAACCAGAGCCTGTGTGAGCTGATCCCACCTGAGTGTAAATATGGAGAGAAGCTGGTCTCCTACTTCAGACAGGACTCTTGTTGTCCGGACTACGTGTGCGGTGAGTTTACCGATCAAATCCAGTTAATCGAGCGACTGAAACCATCAGACTAACCCTCAACTTCCACCGCATCTGGAACGGCTACGAAAAGGCCGAGTCGCCGATCGCAAATGATCTTTTCCTTTGGAGTTATTCACCTCATGAACGGATCCAGTTGGAATTGACGTACGGCAAAAATCAGGGCCGTTCCGGATGTGTTGGAAATCCGGGGTAAACCGTCAGATCCACCAGATGAAGAAATGAACCCGTGACTTTTAAAGTTTAGTCATCAGGTACAGAGAAACAGACCAAACTGGGGTCTGAAGATCAGCCACTGACCCCGATAACAGACTGGAAGTTCTGGTTTTTAGGTCATGGGTTTTTTTTTGTTAGAAATGAAGCTCAATTTCTGCTGGAGCAAAAGTCACAATGATCCTCAGTGTTCAGATATAAAACCATCTTTAATAACCCTGGACAAGAAAACATAAGTGTGTGTGTGTGTGTGTGTGTGTGTTACAGAGTGTGATCCTGAACTCTGTGAGTCCGACGTACCCGCCTGCAGAGAAGACCAGACCCTGATCGCCACCAGAGCTGACGGCAGCTGCTGCCTCGCCCACATCTGCAGTCAGTTCAGACACCTGAGATCTTCTCTGTTCAAAATCCAGCTGTAGGTCTGAGTCCAGAGATGACGTGTGTGTGTGTGTGTGTGTGTGTGTGTGTGTGTGTGTGTGTGTGTGTGTGTTTCCTGCTGCAGTGTGTTCTTCATGTGTGGAGACGCCCCCTGTCTGTCAGGATGGAGAGGTGCTGACGGTTGACGGTAACACCACAGACCACTGCTGCCCGTCGTACCAGTGTGGTGAGAGGAGCACACACACACACACACACACAGACAATAACAGCAGCTTGAACACACACACACACTAACATCAGCTTTGTGAACTCTGTGTGTGTGTGTGTGTGTGTGTGTGGTGTCAGTGTGTGAGCCCTACAGGTGTCCTCAGCTGAGCTGTCCTGTGGGGATGTCGGTGTCGTCTTCGTCCTCTCCAGGCCGCTGTTGTCCAAACCAAACATGTGGTACGACTTCAGAGCGGGAAATCTAGAGTCCAGAGTTAGAGCACATCTAGTTTGAGACGTAGATCTGTAATCTAGATATCTAATCTTCTGATTCAGGGTTGGCTTTTCAGGCACGTGTATAAATCACACAGAGAACTCAGTGATGAAAGTAAATATTTGTCTTTAACAAAAGTTCTCCAGACTGATGAAAACGTTTGATCCATGGTGTTATAGAGGATGATAGTTTCTGTGTCTGAACTCAGATGTTTGTGTGACCTGGATCATCTGTGTTTGTGTGTTTTCAGAGTGTTCCTGTGAGAAGATCACCTCCCCCAAATGTGGCCTGGTGAGTCTGCCTGTCTGTGAAAACACAGAGTTTTTTCTTCTGATTGAACCAGGAAAGAGATCTATATGTGACAGCTGAGAGATCTATATGTGACAGCTGAGAGATCTATATGTGTGTTAGAGTCTGAAATCCTGATCAGCCCCTTAAAACCATGAAAAACTCAGTTGTAGATGAAACATCTTCAGAAATGTTGAAGTGTTTATACGAAGCCACAAAGGGTTAACTGTCCACGCTGAGCTGTGTTAACGTCTGTGCGTCTCTGATTCTGTTGTTGTTCTGTAGGGAGAGGCCGCTCAGCTGGACCGAACCTTCCTGTCCGACCCACAGAACCAGTGTGCCTGCAAGAGATACAAGTGTGGTGAGTTCTGCAGGGGTGGTGGTCCAGACTCAGACCGGTCCTGAGGAGGAAACTGCAGATTTTAATAAACATAAAAAACAAAGACTGGAGTTAAATTTGATCTCCTCCTTTAAAGTGACAAAAGTAAATAATAAAAGTGTTTATTTCTGAAACTGCTGCCGACGGTCGACGTCTGAATTTTCTCCGTATGAAACTGAAACAGCCTGTTCTGATCTCTGAGTGATCCAAACCCTCAGGAGGTTAGAGATGAAAAACTAGAATCTGATGCAGTCCAACCTTTGACCTTCCATCTGTGTGTGCGTTCAGTGCGAGAGGCGGTGTGTGTGTTTGGCGAGCGCAGCGTGTTGCGGCCGGGTCAGACTCTGGTGGAGCACGGCGAGGACGGTTTGTGTCACAGCAGGCAGTGCAGCCGCAGCCTCGACCCGAGCAGCGGCTTCCACCTGCTCCGCACCAGCAGCATCAACTGCTCCGCCCACTGTCGACCGGTAAGATCACCGCACACACACACACACACACACACACACACTGACATGTTGGCGTTTGTTCCAGAATCAGATGTACGTCCCTCCGAAGGATCAGTCGACCTGCTGTGGAGTTTGTAAGAATATTTCCTGCCTCTATGAACACGAGAATGGAACAACAGTTCTCTACAAGGTCAGGATCTAAACCGGATTAAACCAGATTAAACCAGATTAAACCAGATTGATCTCACACAGTTAAAGGGATTAATCATTTCTGATGTTGTCGGTGTCTCTCAGCCTGGGAGGTCCTGGGTTTCAAACTGTATGAAGTTTGACTGCACTGACACTCTGTCTGGACCCACACTCATCTCCTACTCCTTCAGCTGTCCACCGTTCAACGAGACCGAGTGTATGAAGGTCAGCGTGCAGCAGCAGCACACACACACACACACACACACACACACACACACACACACACACACACACACACACACACACACACATGCATGCAGTGTTGGGACAGTTCACTTTCTACTCGAACACAAAGTTCAAAGTTCAGTTTAAAGTGAACTCGTTCATCGTTCATAATTCCTCATTTTGAGGACAGCGCCCTCTGGTGACGGGCTGCAGTATAGGTCATAAACCCCGCCTCCTTATGGAGCTGTGGACAAACTTTATAAATGAATGACACAGAATATAAATGTTTCTCCCCCCTGGTTGTGATGTTGACATGTAGTTACTGTCAGACTGGTTTGTGCTCAAGTCCTCTTTTTTCTGTACAGCTCCGTTTTTAAAAGTTATTAGGGGGTTCATGTTTGCTATGATTGACACCTGATACAGCCAATGGGAGGACAGAGATTGGACCTCAGAAACTGCACTAACCTTACCAGATTCAAAACCCAACTCAAAACCCACCTTTTCCGCACTGTTTTTCATCTTCCTTAGCCCCCCCCCCCCTGTTGTTTGTTGATTTTACCTGATTTTACTTGATTTTATTTGATACTGATGTATCTTATTGTATATTGATGTATGTTTTTATTCATGTACAGTGTCTTAGAATAGAATAGAATAGAATATTCCTTTATTGATCCCCCATGGGGGAAATTTTTTTGTCACAGCAGCATCACAGACAAGACAAAAAGTGCAAAAATGCAGTTATAACAATAAGGATCCTAATATTAAGAACTTAAATAAATGTAATAATTAAGAAAAAAAATTGAAAAGGGAGAAGAAAAAATAAAGCTTTCTACAATATACACAATTTAAATGCCATTGAGTTTGTGAAAAGCGCTTTACAAATAAAATGTATTAGGGATTGAGTAGATCACCGGGGGATACGCTGTTTGAGCCGAGCATCATCTTGGTGACTCTCCCGCCAAAAGTGCACAACGCCACTGCGCAATGTTGGTTTGAGGAAGTGGAGAAAAACGCAGAATTACCGAGAACTTTTCAGCTTCACATCCACATGTCTATGTCTGACAGTCTATGATTAAAACACTCTGTACAGAGGTTTTTCTTTGTTCCTGTCCTAACACTGTGACTCTCCTCTGCTCTCAGATCGGCGGGACTGTCGTAAGTTATATGGACGGATGCTGTAAGACGTGTGAGTATCTGATCTGAGCGCAGCTGCTGTCGTAGTTAGCGTAGCTCTGTAGGCTGCAGCTGACACTGAAGAGCATCTTCATCTGCTGCTCAACATGTTCCCGACATGTTTGCCCTTCAGTTTGGAGCAGAACCGGGTCCCAGCTCTGGTGTCTGTCTGCTGTTTGTCAGAATAGGGAGGTCTGTCAGCGTGCTTTTCAGTGGGCGGGGCTGGACTTGAAAAGAGTGTCACTGAAAAGCATCTGATTGAATAGAAAGGAGGTTTGTGGTTTGATGTGCTGCAGCTTACCATCATGTACCGATCCCACCAGGTACTGGATTCTCTCTGTTCCCCTTCCCCACTAGCCCCCTGACTCCCACAGTAGACACAAACTGTGAACGAGGTACATCCAACAACAACAACAAGGCTTGTCAGTGCCATTGTTGATATTCAACAATGTACTCCCTCCAAAAAGACATAGAGACGAAACACGACCACGTCACTCTGAACCCCGCCCCCTCCTCCAGATGAGTCCTCTCAGCTGTCGTCTCATTTCAGGTCTGTGTGCATCAGTGACAGACTAAACCGAACGAAAACGCCGTTATCGTGGTTGAATTACGAGAACTAAAGTGGGCGGGGACACGATCCTAAAAATGAGGCCACACTTGAGAGGACAGGACCAGATTTTGACCCTCCGCCCCCCCCTCCCCGTGGATCCACCACAGTTGAACTCTTTCCCCATTAGCACTGTCTGGGCAGTGCATTGTTGATTGCCAACAATGTACTGTTGGTAGACGCCCAGTAGTCGGGCTTAGACGTCTGTACGTGTCTGTAGATCCTGTTTTTTTTTCTTTTTTTGGTGTGGGTTTTTTTTTTTTCTTTCTGTGAACCGAGTAGCTGCTGTAGAAGATCTGCATGCTGCAAGGCTTCCTCACCACCAGGGGGAGCTGTGTGGGAAACTAAAGCTGCTCTGTGAGGCATTTACAGGATGATAAACGAGAACTGAAGGTGAAGGTGTTAGAGTTTATTTCTTTAACCCTTAAATCCAGAAAGGTTGTTGATAAAAACAGAAGTTGGTGTTTTCTGAAGATCATTAAACTAAGAGACGATACGTCACGTGACCACAACGTGAAGTTATTAAAGATAGAAACAGAAACAAGTTCATCAGCTGTTTGGAGTCTGAGCTTGGACTGACGGGTCATCAGCGCCCCTGAAGGTCCAGTCTGGATTGGTCCAGTAGAGTTTTCTTCTTCTCCTTCAGAGTTTCTGCTCGGACATAAAAAACCTTAAATCGTCTAAAATCCAATAATTTGAATTTAAGGCCTTAAAATGTCTAAAATTCTCTTAAAACCTCATAAAATGTCTTAAATACTAATTTAAAAGGTCTTATAGATGTATTGTTGTTTCTTAGAAATCAAGATTGATTTAAAGTTAGTTTAAGATGTTCAGATTTCCCTTCATGTCTTTTGTACTTTTTTGTCAGTACTGATGTAAAATGGATCGTAAATTATATTCACTGTGGTCTTAAAAAAGTCTTAAAAGGTCTTAAATTTGACTTGTTGAAACCTGCAGAGACCCTGTCCTCAGTCCTTCTTAAAACGTGTCCTGAGCGGTCGAGTGTTTCCTCTTTGATGGTTCAGTTTTAACCTCGTCGTGGATGCAGCGATGCTCACATATACATATATTCTGAGATGTTTCTCCTCTTTTTTAAAGCAGCACAGTTTTTTGAGTTTTTAGTCATCCTAACCTTTTTAAAACTCCTGGAGTCAAATTCAAAATGAGTTCAAAATTTATTATAAACCCATAAAATATTTGAGTTTCAAACTTTGATTTTCTTCTTCATTATTTTCAAATAAATTTGGAGTTAAAATGATTTTAAAAACACCAAAACTGTTTTTACCATCCTTTTACTCGGCGTCCTAACCTTCTGGATTTCAGGTCATAAAAGAGTTCTTAGAGGAGACAGAATTTAAAGTTTTATGAATTAGATTTTATTGACCGTAGAAAAACAGGGTCTCTGTGACTGAGAGGTGGATGTTTGGTCGATGCCTCACACTGCAGCTTTGACCTGATGCTGTTTTTGAGTCGATCACAGATGTTGGTGAAGCATGTTCACATAAAACGGTTTAAAAGGACGTTTTTAAAGTTTTTTCATTTACTGCATGAAGGAGCTCATCTTCCCTTAAAGTCACACATTTCTTTATAAACTTTTGTTCCTCTGACATGAAGTTTCATCTTCTCTCCATGACTAACCAGAGATCCTCCTCCTCCTCTTCCTCCTCTTCTTCATTTTCTAACTCCAGCTTTTAAACATGCTTCGTCTAAAACGCGTCCACAGCTTCAGCATGATCCGACCGCAGCACCCACCAGGACTCTTGCTTGTTGCCGTCTGTTTATTTATTTGGGGAACTGTTGGTTCGTTCGCTTTGCTCCGACTGATTGGTTTTGTTTCATGCGACCAGGCAAAGAAGACGGGAAGTCGTGTCAGAAGGTCACGGTGAGGATGACCATCAGGAAGAACGACTGTCGCAGCAACAGGCCGGTACGTTGGACGAAGAGACGGTCCTTTATCATGATTCAAAGAGGAGCGAATCAGTCTGTTAACAAATTATTATTATTATTTTTATTTTTTTTTTAACAACCTGTTTATTGAATTTTCAACCTTTTCAACCAATTTTTTCCTAAAACATAAAATAAACTATATGTGAAAGTTTGAGGCTCAAACGTACTTAACAAATATTCAAGATAAATGAAGATAAATGCCTGTAAACGTAAACATATATGTCAATAAATAAATAAAAATAGTCAAATATAACCCGCGTGATTAAACAACATCAACAGAACAATTCCACCATGAAGGCGACTCCTAAAAACCTACATCATGAACCATAAGATGCTTTTTAATGATCAGTAAAGTGTTAGTTCAGTTACAGAGGTTACGACTGAACTCCCCGATCTAAATCCAACATACTGGAAAAGTTTTTGTCTCTTAGAAAATCTATAAATGAGCCTCAGATGTGTTGAAACTGTTCTTGATTATCTTTAATAATGAATGTGATTTTTCCAGAGGTTCACATGTTGACGTTTCTTTAATCCACCGTCCAATTCTTGGTCCAATGCTGCTGATCTTTTGGGAGTCTGTAACAGACACAAGTCTGTAAATATCTGTTCTCTACCTTTTATTTTATATTCCTTTTGAATAGATGCTAAGAATGAGGAATCTTGGTTCTGCTACTAAGTGGATTAAAAGTCTCTCCTGAATTAAACGACCAAAACTCTGTGATCCTCGGGAACTTCCAAATGCCATGAAAGAGAGTTACGATTCAGTTAGTTCCATTTTTCCACTCTCATTATCCACTTGTACCGCAGGAGTACCCTTCTTGTAGTGGTAGTTAGAGTTTGAGCCTCCCTACATGCCGTGTACCGAACATATTTAGAAGATTCGACCGTTTCTGTTCTGGTGAAGAAGAGCACAAAGTTATTGAGAACGGTGTGAACGCCTGCTGAAATGATCCCACTGAGGTGTACGATAACCAGGTCTACAGCTGACGCGTCCTCCCAACCTACTTGTTTCCCATGTGTAAATGAAACAGTTTGTCCAAGTCACATTTTCTTTCTTTGTTTGTCTCCTGTTAAAGAGACTAAATGCAAAATAAAGACTAAAGCAAATTCCAACAAACGGCGACGACCGGATGATAAAGATATAGATGTAAATGATGTAGATGATGGTCAAAAAACTCCTCTAGCTACCAACACACCTGCGTCTTCTTCTATTTATAACAAACCAAACCCAAGACTTCACACACCTGAAATATGTTTCAAAACACAAAAACAAAGAAAACACAGTAAACGACTCGAACACGGTGAGTCAAACAGGCTGAACTGAGAAACATCAAAAATCTCCTGTAGCACCAGAAAGAGAGACCAGAGTGTCGTCAGCAAACAGACTGAACATCTAAGAATAACTCTGTCAGTCCTCTGTCTTCCCTCTGTTCTAACTCCGTGTTTCTTCCAGGTCAACATCGTGTCATGTGACGGGAAGTGTCCGTCGGCCAGCATCTACAACTACAACATCAACACGTACGCTCGCTTCTGCAAGTGCTGCAGGGAGACGGGGCTGCAGCGGCGCTCTGTGCAGCTCTACTGCAGCAGCAACGCAACCTGGGTCAGCTACACCATCCAGGAGCCCACCGACTGCTCCTGCCAGTGGTCCTGATCCATCTCACACACACACACACACGTACACACACACACACACACACACACACACACACACACACACAGCGACACTAAAGGAAAGAGACAGTGAAGAAACTTCAGCCATGTTGCTTTAGGGCGCTCAGACGGCGTTATTGACCGGGTCTGGATTTAGCTGCCTCTGCTGGCAGGTAGGTGTTACTGCAGGGTAACTTTGAGGTCATATTTCTGAGCAGGAACCTTCTCCTTTAGTTTGCAGCACTTTAGCTGATTTCAGGCCCGTGAAGACAGCGATCAGAGGTCATCGGTCTCTTTGGTGACCTTATTATAAATCACTGGTATTAAAATTAACATTTAGACACATTTAGACACAGAGAACGTTCCTCTTTCTGCGTCTTCACTGACCTGCCAGCCTGCAGAGAGAGGAAACAGTCAGAGTCAGTGAGTCCTGTGGTGTTTGAGTGTTTCTTAGCCTGAACCCCTCGTGACGGTTTTGTAAATAACTTTGTTTCTTAACTTTAAAAATGATTTAAAATATCAAATTTTTAGAGAAGTCACTTTTAGAAGAACAGGAATAAAGTGTAAACTCAGTGATCTGAAAAGTACTTTTTTTTTATAATCAAGATTAGTGGGACGTATTAAGTGATTTAAATCCAGCTGTATGTGGAGCACTTTATTTATTTATTGGAGTTTGATAGAGAGAGCACAGACGTTTGTATTTTGTGAATAAAGAGACGGAGTCATTTCGTACAAAAAAACCAACCCAAACTGACCCAGAGGTGAGGCGTGTTTCCTCCTGGACTAAAGTGTCTTCATGTCGCAGTCACCCGCTCAGATAGTGAAGATATATTTGTATCATACAAATGTACATTTGCCTTTTCAATAAACATGTCCTTTGGAAAAAATCGGAGCCGTTTCTCTGTGAATGAGGAGGAGCAGGAGGAGCAGAGGTCATCGGGTTTCTCAGAACTGTTCAAGTTCTCACAGACTTATTTATATTCTGCCCCCTAGTGGTCAAAGTCAATTAATGTGCTTTTAAAACAGATTTGTTCTTCCAGAGTCACATCTAGAGAGTAACTATGGAGCCCGAGAGGTGACATGAACTTTAATTTGCATGTGTGTTTTATTTGTATTTTGAATAATGTTCCGTGCGCCTTGTGTGTGAGAGATGAAGGACAGTGTCATGAACAGAGAGCAGATTATCAACATTTTCTTTCATTCAGGTAGGGGAGAGCGGGTTAAGATGATCCATGTTTCATATTTAGATCAGTCCATCAGGTCAGTCCTAGTTTTGTCTCTAACTCGTGTCTCTGCAGATATTTCAGGATGTTGTTCATCCCTGTAAACCAACAGAATGAGTGTAAACAGAACTGTCATCTTCATAATAATGCAGGACAGAAAAAGGTGGTCTCCTATGGTCAACTTACCCCGTGTATGGGGGGGTAACATGACCATCAACTTACCCCGGTCTCCCCTATGACTCAGAGAGATACTTCATATTTTAACCACATTTGATGTTGTTTGGAGCAGGACACACCTCATCAGGATCCTTGTGGAGCACAGAGACTTTGCCGTCTGTGATATTCAGACTCGCAGGAAGTGATTTTGTTTATTAACAAACAGTTAAATCAACGATTATTTGAGATACTAAATCACAAATTTAAAATAAAAAATTAATATCACCTCCCAGGCTCCAAAAGTAACAGGTCACAGAAGTAAATAAATTATTTTAATTATGATCAAATGAATAATTTCCTCCCAAACACACAGACCTGTGAGTTACAAGACAGACTCGTTCAGGGACTCAGAGGTTCTCTAATCTGTGTTTCAGGAGTGAAGAGGCACGTTGGTTTAATCTGCACATTTCAGCAGCTGAGAGTAAGAGCTGAGAAAGCTGCATAAAATATCAGTGTTCAGTATCAACAATCATGGAAGGATGAGAGTCCAGACAGAACATACAGAGGATTACATGCTGCTGTAGACTGAAAACCATACTGAGCTGTGAACCCTCAGAATCTGTGGATCTGTTACAGACCGGTCAGACTATCACAGACACAGGATTCAGAGCTGAGAGAGTTTCTCCATCAGACCGTACTTTAGGTCATTTCGAGGAAACTCTAAAGTGACCTCCTCCTGTTGATAAACTTCACCATCGTCTCTAAAAACGAACCCTGAGGTCGACCACGTCTGGACAGAGGTTACTCGAGGTCAGGAGAAGAAGCGTGGGCGTGTGCCAGGGAGCACAAAGCAAACCTGAGAAAGTGCGATGATGAGGAGTTGGCTGCAGCGTCTGAGGGACTGAGAAGGGAACATAGTGATCATCTGAGGCCGACCGCTGACGTCCAGGCGGGTGGAGCGCAGCCCGAAACACGCTCTGATGTCACTGAACATTTTCCTGAACCTGGACTGATGATTGGTTCACAGTCAGGGTCAGACTTCAGTTCAAACCAGGATCAGTATGGTAGGGACACTGCGGCTGTTTCTGCCTGTTTTATCAGGAGTCAAATTTAGACGTGTTCATGAATTAAAAATCACTCTCCTGATCTCCACTTTAACTTGAATCATCAATAAAAAAAAGATGAAGACGTCAGAGTCTCTAAAGTTCAGGTTTAAAGTTTGTTTTAGACATAAAAACAAACTTTTAATCTGCTGAATCTGCTGCTCAGTCTCACCTGAGAGTCACCATTTGTTTCGCTCGGACACAGAGGGTGGAGGAGGGTGTTGTTGTGTGAGGGGTGGAGGAGGGTCATCCAGCCTTGGTAATCCTGCTGTAACAGCTGCACTCTTTATTACCACCCCGCCACTCCTCTACTGTCCTCAAAACAGACACGCAAATAGATTTACATCAGGAGGAAAATTCAACATTAAAACTGGTAAAAAAAGAGCAGAAAGAGTCTAAAAAAAGACAAATATTTAATAAAAAGATTCACAACCACAGATTTTATTACCACATGTAAATATGAGATCTGAACTGACTTTTACAGCGACTCACAAAATGAGTAAAACAGCAAAACAACAAACGATAACAAGGAGAAATAAATGAGTAATAATCTAAACAACAGCAGGAATAACTGGATTTGGTTTTATTAAGATCCCTCACCTGATGGCAGCTACTTTAGCTGGGGTCCATAAATAATCAAACACACATGAAATGAAACTAAACTTACAAATAATATAAAAAACTTCATAGTACAAAAATAATAGTAAAAATTATGAAAATACAAAATCAGACAATAAAACAATAACAAATCAAAATAACAATAACAGACCAACAACAAGAAGAACAATATCAACAACGTTTTTGGTCACTAACGTTAACTGCTGTAAAAACAGTTCAGATAAATATATATTCTTTTTTTTTTTTGCTCAGATCTCTTGATTAACCTCAGTCCTTATCAAAACTATTATTTTTTTTTTACTGTTATGGATTTTAACTCTTTAAAAGCCGATTTTAGAGGTGATGTCACTGATTTGGTGAGAAAAAAAAAATACAAAAAAATGATTTTCAACATAAAAAATGATCAGAGGCTGGAGGTTTTTTTACGTGCCTTGGACATGTCAAATATTCATAACAATATTGACTTTAATGCATTATTATTTTTTATGCAGCTTCAGATTTTAAGTTTTTACTCCCTTTCGTCCTCTTTGTGGACGTTTGTAGCCTCTAACTTCAGCTGCTGTAAAAACATCAGATAGATATTTTTTTAACTTTTTTTTATCTCAGATCCTTTTATCAAACTCAGTCCTGATAAAAACTACTAAATATTTAATCATCTGTGAATTTCATGTGATGGAGCTCTGATGAGGTTAAAGCTCCTATAAGGAGTTTTTGACATCCATGAAAACAAATGAATGAAATTCACACCGAGAACTTTTTATGATGTCAAATAGTAAACAGACTCAACAGATTCATGTTTTATTAAATACCTGAAGTTAAAGGGGGAGGGGGGTAACACAAACTGAAAGTTCCTAACTGGAGCTTTAAGGACGATCATCTTTAATTACACTTCTCTGTTTTAATTAAAGGAAGGATCATCTAAACGGGTCTTCTCTGTTTCTTTACATCGAAGTGTTTTTAAATCTCTGCAGTTACATGTGAACATGAACAATAACCACAAACCAGTAAAACCAGTAAAGGTCCAGGACTGCGCCGCACAGACGTTTGTTTATCTTCTGAACAAACTCGAACCCTCTGGACTCGCTCCTGACTCTTTTCATCATCGGCAGATTTACGGTCACCGACACGCTCGGCTGCGACGCCAGTTAGCGTCTGTCAAAGCCAACAATTTCTCCTCAGCTCAACTCGGGGCCGAGTCCCCGCCAGAGAGAGGTGCATTGTGGGTAAAGGCTCACGGTGACATCACTGGAAAGTGGCTTGATGAGTTTGAAGCAGCTGCAGAAACAAACACACACACACACACACACACACACACACACACACACACATGGGTTCTGGTTTTCAGCACATGTGAAACTCTAGTGTGGGACCAGAGGAGGAGGTGCTGCAAACTGGACAGTTAACTGGTTTTTAATTGTTGTTTTTATTATTATTATTATTATTATTATTATTATTATTTATTATTATTATTATTATTATTTATTATTCCTGTATTTCAGTATCTTCTGTCTTAAATCTGACTCAGACGGTGAATCTGCTGGTTCTGCCCGTCAGTCTTACTGTACAGTACTTCATTACCCTGCCTCCAGAACATGAGCTCAGACTGAAACCCGAGCTCTGTTCTGCGGTCGCTGACGTTCCTCTTAATGAGGATTCCTCCAGAGGTGTGGATCACGTGGGTTCACACCTCCAGGATCAGAATTACAGAGAGTTACGGATCAGACGGGAGAGTCCGAGACAAACGAAACAAACATCACACACTCAAATCTGCAGAGTTCAATATATATATATGTGTGTATATATAAATATACATATATATATATATAGAACCTCTAATCTAAGATAAGCAAAGATGAGCTGTTTAGTTTCCTAATTTCTTCTTATTTCTGTTCTCCTTCCATTTGTTTTTGTAAGTGTTAAACTGTAAAACCCCCACAGGGATAGATAAAGTATTCTGGTTCTGGTTCTGGTTCTGGTTCTGGTGGTCCACAAACTCAGCTGATGGATGCAGCAGCACCACCATGAAGCACATGAATGAGAACTATCATGAAGTCCTCTGATTGGATGGACATGAATAACAAACGTGTGTGTGTGTGTGTGTGTGTGTGTGTGTGCGTACCTGTCTAAACTTCTGCGCTGTGATTGGCTGACGACCTTTCTCACCATTGGACAGCTCGGACCGCCTCCAGCGCTCTGTGAGTGGATTCAGACTTTGTGTTTTTTATTTTCTCTAAATTACAGAATAAATTCAATAAACCGCTCAGATGGATCCTGATGTGTAAATAAGATTTTTAAACTTTATTTCGTTAATTTTATTAGATTTCTTTAGCAGCACCGAGTCACAGAAAACACTGAAATGTCAAAGACGTCAGATCAGACCTGTTTCTGGATTTCTGATTTGAGGTTAAATCTGATTATTAGTCTGTTTTTAATTCCCTCTATATCAGGATAAATTTGACCCGTTTGTGTAGATTTGGACATTTAAAAACAATCGTATAATAATCTTTAAAGATGTTTTTTTACAGTGAGCAGAGTGTGGACCCTCATATATCCAGACCCTGATGAGTCCATGTTTGAGTCTCTCTTCCTTCCTGTTCAGGTCAGAGGATCATAAATCCCGCCATCATCACCGCCCTCGCTTCAATCACTGAACCTTTTGTCTGCCAGTCTTTGAACTGAACGGCGGCGGCGCTCTGATATACATCAGTGAGAAAACATCCCGACGTCACTCCAGACTGATGACAAGGACAGACCCGGAGAGAGAGAGAGAGAGAGAGAGAGAGAGAGAGAGAGAGATGGACGCACATTTGTCCCCGTACAGGAAACGACCTGACGGCTTTGTCACAGCAGGAGAAGATAGAGAGAGCAGGTTGAAATGATTTAACCTTTGACCTCTGAGGGGAGTGAGGACAGAGGCGGATCTGTTAAACTCGCTCTTTCACTTCCTTTCACTGTAAATCACAAAACGCTCAGAGCCTCATGTTAAAGCAGAAGTCAGTTTTATTGTTTTTATTGAGTTCCTCTGAAACCTACGGAGTCCCTCTGGTGACATTGGAGAAAAACAAGTTAATGTGTGGCCATGAGATAGTAGGATCTGTCAGGGGGATTTAGAGGAAGTTTGTTTGATTCTTGGATCTCTGGACCCTGATGCCTCAGCCGTCCGTCTATCCAGGAAACGTTGTCTTGTTACAAAAACACGTACAGACGGTACAGAGACTCCAGAATCACCACACACACCGAGGAGTCTCTGTCCTGTAAAACTGTGGAGCTGTTGATTTTTGTTTGCAGCGTCTTAATCTTGTATCGCACTTTGCAGACGGTCCCTGCACACTCGCCTGTACATAGAGATCAATATTATTCCTCGAGCTCGAAGAACGGCTCGTTTTTGTAATGAGCTGGATTTTGATTCTTGTAGCGAGTCTGTGTTATCATGACGTGAAAGAGGAATCATTCGTGTTTAGACAACGTTTTCGTCTCAGAGATCCTGAAAGTCAGAATCTGTGAATATCTTTCCAACTTTACTGAATGAAAACTTGATTAGATCGACGCCTGCACTGACTCTTGTGCACAGGGACAGTGGATTAGCCGGACATGTCAGTGTTGGTAATACTGAACGAATGAGGGGAGGTTTAGTGTCCTGGATAGACGGACGGCTGAGGCATCAGGGTCCAGAGATCCAAGAACCAAACAAACTTCCTTCCTTTTCCTTCTTTCTCCTGCTGAACTTCTTTTGCAGATGCGTACGTCTGTAATGGTAACAGGAAAAAAAGGATATTTCTGAGTTTTGTTGGGAAAAGAATCTCAGTAAATTGTTTCCACGTTATCCTCCTGAAATCCCAAATCTGAGACATTCAGCCCTGACTCAGAGTTCGACCTACAGGCTCAGAAATGACTCGGATCTTTTCTTCAGAAATCTGATGAGTCATCGTTCCCACAGAGTTTCATCACAGAGGGAAAAAACCCGAGAACTTTCAGGAACCGTGACTGAGAGCAGAGAGGAGTCAGAGGTCAGAGGTCGGATCAGAGTCCGTCCCATCAACTTACTGTCAACATTCACGTACGCTAGAGCGCCAGTGTTTACAGGAACAGGAAGTGATGTCATTTCTCTGACTGATAGAGAAGAGATGCAGAAGTAGCGAACCCTAAACCAGGTGGATTTGACCGTTTAAAGCTCCTGTCAGCGGTTTTTCTGCTGGTTCTGGAATTAAAACTCGTGTTTTTTTAGAGTGACATCTTTCAGAAAAAACAAGAAACACACCACCAGGGGGAGCCAAAATCAAGACAAAGTTAAAGTTCCTCACAGGAGCTTTAAATGTCACACAGTAGGCACAGTTACAACAACAACAATAATAATAATAATAATTATTATTATTATGACTACTGCTATTATTATAACAACAATAAAGGAAATAATAATAACAATGATAATATCAATAACAACGACAACAATAATGTTAACAATAATAATAATAATTATTATTATAACAACAATAAAAAAATAAAAACGAGAAAAATAATAATTCTAATACTACTACTACTACTACTACTACTACTACTACTACTAATAATAATAATAATAATAATAATAAAAGGTTTACAGTCCAAACTAAAACTTTGTGTTTTTTTTTTTTATTTCTAGTTTAAAGCCGTTATTTCAGCCTCAGTCACCAACAAAAACAGAAAAATCTTTATTTTGAGGTCAAACCGTCTCTGAATGAGTCTTGACTTGATTGAAACGAGAAAAAAAAAGTTCCTGTAATGAGACGTTTTTTATTTCAAGAATCTTATTTCTTCATTTTTTATTTAACAGGCAGATTTTTAAAAACTAAAAACATGGACTGGGATTTCCTCAGTAAAACACTCTTGTGGACACACAGCCGGAGTCGGGGACTCTTCCTGAAGTCTAATTAAAGGTCGACAAAGTTGAGGTTTTTGTGTTTGACCAGCAGACAAATCCATAAAAATCAACAGGAATAAAGTTTTAAATAAAGTGAAAGTAAAAGTGGAAAATGAGACACTTAAAGACTGGAGTGTGCAGAATATGTTATTAGGAGAGACCAGAACAGACGCTCGCTCACTTCCTGTCATTTCTCGGGTTGAATTCCTGCGACAACTTTGACATCTTCTTTATTTTGATTCGTCAGAAACAGACGATTTAACAAATGTGTGGAAAAAAAAACCAAACTATCCCTTTAATCTGTTTCATCAGGATGAGACTCTCTCAGGATCCTCATCAGGAGACTCTTTGTGGGTTTTTGTTTTTTTATTCTTTGACAGTTTTTATTCAACATCTCTGAAGACCTGGTCTGTTGTAAAAGAGGTTTTTAATTTTCTCATTTCTCAAAACTTTGACGACTTTTGTGTCTTTATTTTGCTGCTGACCGTCTTTTTATAAACTCAGTCTATTATATGAGGATTTTTGTTCATTTGTTCATATTTGATGATTTTACTGAATCTCCTCTCATTTATTCTGGAGTCTCTAAAACAAACAGACTCAGTGTGTGTGTGTGTGTGTGTGTGTGTGTGTGTGTGTGTGTGTGTGTGTGTGTGTGTGTGTGTGTTTGTGTGTGTGTGTGTGTGTGTGTGTGCCCTCTTACCTCCTATTTCTGTGGTCGTCGCGGTCGTCACTGCAGGTCCAGAGGTCGGTCACCTCGCCCCAGAAGAGGAAGTAGTAACTCCTGGAGCGTCAGAACCATCTTCACTCTGCTGTTCACCTGTCAGCCTCCTCCTCCTTCTCCTCTTTCTCCTCCTCCTCCTCCTCCTCCTCTTCTTCTTCTTCTTCCTCACTAAGACAGGCAGCAGCTGCAGGTCAGAGTCTGGAGTTTGGTTTAAGTAAGAATCAGAGAGACTGTAATGAAGACAAAAACCTGCAGAATAATAATAATAAAAAAGAGCATTTAAACGTCTTTTTTTCCAGCTTCCTGTTGACGTCACTTCTCTCCATCAGGTCGTAATTGTCAGTTTATTAGGTCTACATGCTAATAAAGAGAAACAGCTCTTTAAATGTGTTTACTGTCACAGTTTTAAATGAGATAGAAAACAACTTCACAGTCATAAAAATGGAACAAAAACACAGAAATATTCATTAGTAATAAACCTCATTAACGGTTTAATTTAATATAAAATGTCGTGTTCAGTCTGAGCAGGATGACTTTAAAGTGATTTATTAACCGGGATATTTTAAAGAAAGTTTTTTATTTCATTAAATAAAAATAAAATATAAATGATCTAATAATGGGAGAATGACGCGGTTTTGGAAAATACTACAAACACTTTTCCTGATCTCATATTTCAGTATTTTTAGGACTTTAGTTCTGACTCTGAAACAGAGCTTTTCTTTTTCTGAGTACATGTATAAATAAAACCCTCTTTCTCCTACTGAATCATACTCACTGTACTTTATTGTATATTTGTGATTTATTCTCTGTATTTTTACTCCGTATGTTCTCACATTTGACCCACACTGAGAATAAAAAAGCTTAAATCTCTTCGAGTCTTTTTCCCTTTTTTCTTTTTATCTCTTTTATCTTATTTGGACTTTCTGTCTTTTTAGTTTTTGTTTTACTCATAATCTTTTCTTATTTTATCTTTTAGGCTTTTTATTGATTTTATTGTTTTTTCCTGCTCATTTTTGTTATTCCACTTTATTGATTTTATTATCATTATTAATATCCTCTTTTATATTTACTCTCCCGTTTCCTGCTCTCTGCCCTCTTTTTTATTACATTTCTTTTTCTTACCTATTTGATCTTTTTATTTCGGTCCTCATGGTCTCAGTTTATGTTGTAAAGTTCTTGTATCGTCTGGGTTCCTTATGAAAAATGAAATCGTCCTTTAATTCAGAGGTCTTGTTTTTAACTGAGCTTCTGTTTTGATTTGTTTTTATTTCCATGTGCTGATGTTCTGAGCTGTACGACTGTTTGTCAGAGAACTTTGTAAACTTCTGTTTTTAAAAGTGCTGTAAAAATAAAGTTATTATTATTATAAACTGAAAAAGATTAAAACAATGAAAACATTTGTCAGATTTCAGTTTGTTTAAAGAGTTTTTTCTTTGGGACAGTTTCTTCTTCTGGTTTAAAAAAAAACAGTCAAACTGAAAGGAGGACGTCTGAGTGAAACAGGACTTTTCGATTCTGTTCTTACTGAGTTTCAGAGCGGGTAAACACGGGGCCCCTATTAGAGGGTCTCAGGGTTTATATGGGGACCATCAGCCGGTTTGAAGTGGACTCTGGTGAGTCCGCCGTGTTGTGTCTGCCTCTTCTAAAAACAGCAGGAGGATGAGAAGGTGCTGAGAATCAAGAGCAGCCAAACAACTCATCGACCAGATGACACTCAGTTTGCTTTGACTGTTAACAGGAGCCGTAAAACCAGGGAGGGGGTACAGTGTGTGAAAGTGTGTGAAAGTGTGGATTCGGGGAGTCCCTCTGAGCTCGGATCCATCTGGAATCCACATCCAGGTCCAGCAGGCCGTCCTGTCCTGCGTGTCCCGACATGTCCCCGGCTCTCGGCTCATCAGATCCCATCGTGGCTTCATGGTTTCCTCGTTTGAGCTTTGATGGTGACGTCGACGACAGGTGAGGGACTCAGAAGAAGAAGAAGAAGAAGAAGACCTGATGTGGGCTGACTGAGTGAAAAACAGTTTGATGCTCCTGTGAAAAAGTTTTTACCTGCTCATGAAA